TTATACCGGGCAGCGAGAGCGTTCCATAGATCGGCAGATGTGGTGAAGTTGCGGACATGCTTGTGAACAGACGGACTGATGACGGCAAGAAGGCATGCACGGATCTGAGTATCAATCACAATCCATGTTTGGAATTCTGGGTTAGGGTTTTCCTTGCCATCCTTGGATAGGATTTTTGGAGGCGCAGCTTCATGACCATCGATCCAACCAAGAAGAAGGTTGGCCTCGAGAGCAGTTTTGACATTGAGAGACCATGCAGGATAATTTGAATCAGTGAGCTTCTCTGGGATAAGATTATGGAGATTGCGGAGAAGAAGCTTGACGACAGAAGGAAGCGAAGCAAGCGGATCTGAAGATTGAGCCATGGTTGCCGTTTATGGTCGACCGGCGAGAGGAAGGAGACCGGCGGTGAAGGCACAGTCTCGAAAAAAAGGGCTAGGGTTTAAACCTAGGCTCCGATACCATGATACAATTTGATAATAATTTGTCTTATTGAATATTGAGAGATATGTTCCTATATATAGGGATTACAAGAGAGTCCTATTCCTAGTAGGAAAGGAATAAAGTAATTATGGTAATACAAGAATAAAGAAACTAAATAATATTAGGAGTCTTCCTATTAAATATAAATTGAAAGTAATTAGAGTTCAAAATATGTCAGACTCAAAAAAGCCAAACTGGGCAAATACATTGGGATGGATGTAGTATTTGATATTATGAAATGAATTGTGAAAACAAAGATCCCAGTTCCATGGCCTTTGGATTCCAGTGGCCACGGAAGCCACTGCCCCCTACGGAACTCCGTTCATAAAATTGATGATTCCTACCCTCCTAACCCCCCACCAAGTCCCAACCCAAACTAATCACCCCACCTACGTCAATTGCACCTCGTAAGTTTAAAGTCAAAACTTTTGACTTTAAAGTCAATTATACTTATGAGATGCAATTGACATAGGTGTGATGATTAGTTTGGGTCGGGACTTGGCGGGGGCTTACCGGGGAGGTTAGGGGGAGTAAGAATTATTAATTTTATGAACGAAACTCCGTAGGGGGGCAGTGACTTTCGTGACCACTGGAATCCAGTGGCCATAAAACCGGGCTCGAATCAAAAGCACAAAGTAAATAAAATTTGACTATTGAATAGTGTATAAATAATTTATTTTTAGACGGAGAGTAATTCTACATTTACATTATTTAAAAGTTGATTTAGTTTATTCAATTAATTATTGAAAATAATACGGAGTAGATACATTTATTATAACCATCTCTTTTAGTAGTCAAACGTATTTGTCAATCGCAACGAACAAAATGACATGGATCGAAGAGAATAGTCTTTTATTAGTAGATTTTAAGGTGAAAATATTTTGGTGAAAATTATGTAAAAGAGAGAAATAGCATGAACCGCAACATTATCTAAAACGAAACAAAAGTTATGTTTTGAAATATCCCAAAAAAATTAAGAGCCTAATTTTGGAACGAATGAAATATTTGTAAACGTAACTAGTTCATTCCATGTGTTTTATAATAAAATGGATTAAAATGAAGAGGACAACTTTGATAAGTTAAAAAATTAGCGAGCATAAAATCTATTTGTTGGAGTCTATCCCACATCGGAACTTGTAGTGAAAATAAATCGATATATAAGCTCTTGAGTTGAACTAACTAATCGATTGGATTCAATCTTTTAATGTGGTTCAACCCAAGTCTCTTATTGCCACCCTATCCTAAATTCTATCACTATTACTTTAATCATTTCTTTTTCTTTTATTTTATTTACATACACATATTATTAATATGTACGGTGCTGCCCGTAAAATAAAATCTAATGAAAGAAACATGCTGCACACAAACAACACTTGTTTTGCAAAACAGGCAATCGATATTGTCCTCCAAAAATTACTAGTGACAAGGGTAATTTTGGGAGCGACAATATCCACTCAGTGCAAAACAGAACACAAAAGACACCATTCAAGCCATGGGAAACAAAGAATAGAAGAATAACTTAAACCACTAGAGTTGATAGTGTGTTAACTAAGTAATTAGTGATCATATGAACTTCCCTTATCATTCCCAGCATATCTCAGCACCTCCTTAGCCATTGTAGAAAATGATCTTGCAGTCTCCTGCATCTCAGTTGTTCTAAGGCTGATGCCCTGCCCCGAAAACCAATGAAGTAAAGATTTAAAAGGAAAAAGAAATCAAGAAAGTGAAGTAAAAATGCTATCTTTGATCATTTGTTGTAAAAAAATATATAGAAAGAAACAGAGTAAAGTTAAAAGTAAATGGCACCTGCAATTTTCTCAAATTTTCACCGAGCTTAGATTTTGCTGTTTCTGCAACACTATGTTCCTGCATTGTTATGGTTTGTAGCATTCATTGGTTATTAAACTCACCTCTTATTTTGACTTTGCGCGGTTTTTATTAAGAGTGAAAATTGTGGAGGTTAAATTTGCTTACAGAAGTGTATCCATATTTTTTCTTTATTTGATCAACAGTATCAGCCTTATCATCTTGAGGTGGTGGTGGTGCTTCAGTTACTTGAACCCTATCATTTTTTACCTTCATGTGCTTAAATTTCCCTGGAAAGTGAAGAAGACAATGAAAACTAAGGGTATATTGCATGCAAAGGTCCTTAGAACCTCCACATTGATTGTCAATAAAAGTTGAGAAGTCCCTACAACTCAGCATAACTGACCTCTGAATGCCTCAAATGAATTTGCAAGGTTCTGTTTGTTCAGTGCTGCAACCATGGGATTTCCCTTAGGTTTCACTACTGGATCTTCAATGTCAATGTCGTCTTCAGGAGGAAGAAAATGAAAGGTTTCCAGTCAGCACATCTATGAGAATAATAAGAGCTACAGAAAGTGTTCAGCGGAATGAAATGTCACCTAGAAAGAAAGAAATGGTTTGCGTACATCTCGCCCCCCCAAGACCCTACTCTTGAGTGAGATATTTTGCAAGATATAAATAAAAAGGGAAGCATGAAGAGAGGGTATTTATGGGTTATGTGAAATACCTATACCCAAGTTATCGTCCTCTTCGTTCATGCTTAACTTTTCTTCATTCTCCGTGTCTAATGGAAAATTGGAGAGCGAAAAGGTTACCGAGAATTCTTCAATACTTTCTTGTGGATCTTCAGCTGCTTGCTCAGACAGATTCTTTGCTTTATTTCCTTTGATGACAGATCCAAATATACCCTATACTCATAAAAAGCAGTATGATGGTTTTGTTTAAGTGAAATTTGCACTAAATAGGACCAAAACATAATGACTTTCCTAATGTAGGACTTAAACTTTTTTATTCCTTAAATAAGACTTAATAATGACCTAGTAGAAGGAATAATGTCCAGTAATGATAGACATTTAGTTGAATAATGACTAATTGATAATGAGCAAAACTCCTACATTGGGAAATAAAAACATATGATCCTATATTGGGAAAGTCATTATGTTTTAGTCCTATTTAGGTATAAAAACATATGATCCTATATGTCTCTTTGTTTAAACATGTGCTAACCAAAGTTTGTATTACACGAGCCAAAAGGTTATACATTGAAAGTTGAAAGCAGTGCACTTCAAAAAGCTGTTTTTTCTCTTTTTCGAATAGTATTGTTTTCAACTTTTGTAGCATTTCGCTACCATCTCATGAGAAGATCACAACTAAAACAAAATTTGGAAAAAATACCTTTTTCTTTTCCTTAGGGATGATTGGTGCTGAAACAGGCCCCTGTTCAACTGATATATCTCTATGGTAAACTTGAGATGCTTGTTCAAGAAACCTATAGAAGAAGAAGAATCAGCCAATGCAGCAAGAATACCGAAATCATTATGGAACTTATTTTTTGCTTCGACTTGAAAACAAAGAATAAGAAAATGAAATAGGAACTAGGGAAGGGTGGCTTGGGAAATGTTCCACCTTGCCTGTCATTAACTAATGGAATTTGGGGGGAGAAATATAAAATTACCTGTAAGAATCCTTCAAGACTGAAACTGAGATGAAAAACATTTCTTGATCCCTGTCAACCTTATCAAAAAGATATTTCCAGATTTCCTGTGAGCTTTCGACAATTCATTTACAATCGCATTGAAAAATGAACCAAAGTTAATTAGGTGTACCAGTATGAGTTCCCCGCTGTTCGAAGAGCATATACAAGTGTCAGAAATTGAGTTTGCTTTTGGAGTGGGAAGTCTTAGCCCTCTTATTGATGTTTCTTTCAAAAGGGATAGCTCTGGAAGGGATCTGAAGTTTTTACGGCAAAATCAGCATTATTCAATAAACTATCTCGGTCGAAGGCCATTGAAAAGAAAATCTTACCTTATTTCAACTTTTCCATTTGAAAAGAGAAGAATAAGACCGGATTGAGGGACATCGAAAGTAGATGCCCAGCAACAAGAAGATGAATGGAATTTCTTTTTGTAGTGCACTTTTTTGATACCCTGAACATATAAATAGGCATGGAAAGACAAGGTAAATAACTCATGTTATATACTCCCACCATTCTCATATAACTGTCCATTAACCAAATGCACTTTATTCACATAAAAGTGACCAATAAAAAGAACAATTACCTGAACTGCATGGACCAAGGAGTACACATAAACAGCTTTCTCAGAACAAAGCAATACCAGTGGTACTCTTGAAGCATTAGAGTCCATGCTGTCTGACATGCTAGAAGAAGACCCTATAAAGAGAGGATAAAACTGAATGTTTATACTGCTTTATATGCCCACAAACCTAATAAGTAACTTGTAATGATACTCTTAGGGTCTGTTTGGGAATAGCGTTAGAGATTAGCGTTAGCGTTTTGGATAAAATTTTAACGGTGCAGATTACTTTGAAAACGCTAACGCTAAACGCTGCCCGTAGATAGCCTTTTCAAAACACTAACGCTAATGGCTAACGCTATTCCCAAACCAGCCCTTAATAAATTACCTATAATCTGCATGAACAAGGCTCTGGATGGCTTCTTAGGACGGACCGTGCCATGACTTAATACGTTCCCCGTCTCACCATCAAGTGCCAAGACAGAAGAATCTCTTGTTGCAAGCACTAGAACATTCTTCTCAAATCCGTGGAGGCTGCACACGTCAAACTGTGAAGAGATGATACCGGTACACAGCTCACTTGCTATTTGCTTCTCATACAATAAACTGAGACTCTCAAAATCAAAATGTGACACCTGTATTAAAAAACAATTGGAACATCTGCTAAATTTACGCATTTATTTAAAAGATTGGCAATTTGGCATGCAACCAATAACATGTTTTAAACCATTAGATATCTCGTACGACGATCAAAATAAATAAATAAATAAATAAATAAACAAACAAAACCAGCAGATAATATATTATTCCTTCAATAATATTCATTTCCAACATAACTTAAATGGCTCTACTCTCGAGTTTTAATATTCTTCAAATTCTTGAAATTAGCATATTTGTCATAACACTCAAGATGATTCATAGTGAGAGAAAAAATTAAAAAGAAGGCTTACATATCCTTGATCAGACCCAACACAGAAACTCTTTGAATTTGCGCTCACAGTAATAGAAAGTACAGCCCCATTAATCTTCACAAGCTTAAGACTACGGATGATTTGATTGCCTCCTTTCTTTAAACCTATGATACAAAAAAAATAAGTCAAGGGAAAGATTAGGGAATTCATCTTTTTGAATGATTTAGGGAACATTTATATGCTAGATACATATGCTCAACAGATCCCATACAGAGTTGCCACACGATAGTTTCTCTCTTCTAGTTGGACACACAGAAAGGGTATATTTGTACACAATAAGGATCATTCAAAGATATGTTTCATACCTTGGAATGGCAAAAAACTGTTGTCTGGGGCAAAGACCTCAGTCTTAAATTTATAAATACGAATCTGCAAAACCACATTCGTGTTAGACGTAAGCTTCTGTGCATTAACTCTACTTGCATTAAATTTATTCATCAAGAGAAGAAGTTCACCATTCCACTTTGATCACCAGATATAAGGATATGCAAGTCGAATACAAGAGACAATGCTGTCACGGGCACCCCACTCAATGAAAAGTTGTCTTCATTCTGCATGGTTAATATCATTTCATATTAGAAACTTTATTGATATCTGAATGTTATACAGTTTATTTACCTCCATATGTTATATTATTTGTAGAATTACCAGATGGAATTTGGACCTAAGCCACTGCCAGATAAAATTTATTCACAATATGCCATAGAAAACGGGAATTCTAGATATCATTTAGGCACCTGCAATAAAGGTTTGTACCAAAAGTTCACATGATGAAGCATTACCTGCTGAGTGAGTAATACAATTGGATGCAAGAGTGGGCACGAGACGTCCCAAAAACTTATGGCTCCATTCCTATGCCCTGTTATGTACAAGTTCTTAGCCTTTGAAAACTCAACACAGCGGGCTGAGTTAGAAATAGCTCCATCCTTTTGCCTCCCCTCAAATGGAAAAAGTGGAAATATATCCTTTGCCAAGGAATTATAGTCCTGCATTACAAGGAAACAAAGAACTACAGTTTTTTTCACTGACATTGCAGACATTATGCTCCCTCCACCCCCCAACAAAAGTCATGTTCCTCTTAAGGTACAACCTTTTATTTCTAGACATCTCAATCAAGATACAAACTTTTACAATTATGAATGCTCACTTAATCCCCTAATACGAAGTACTTATTTCCATGAATAGTTGGAGTAATTGACTAAATCACTTGCCACCTGGTTTTACAAAAAAATTACTAAAAAGTGAAAGTTGACTTCTAAAATTGGAGTGTTTGTTATTTTCGAACAAATAAATTCTTGAAACGTGACTTTCTTGGCATAATAGAGCATATGACAGGTCAAAGGAAATAAATAATGTACCTCATTCCCCGACCATAACATGAAAGGGTTATCTGTTATGATCTTTGCAACTGTGATGTTAGAATCGACAAATGGCAACTTCACCAATATTTCCTTTGGTAGTGAAGGCAAGGATCTGTTCTCACATTGCAATAGGTACCTTTCTAATAAACTATCATCATATGCATAAACAACACCTGACTTCCCAAGCAAAAGGAATGTATCGTATTTCTGCTTGCTTGGTGCTTTAGAGCTTGAAATAAGCTCCATATCAGTACAAGGCTCGGGAAGATGAAGTCCCAACTTAGATGTGCGTGATTCCCAGTGATCATTAAGTAAAACTACCTACAAAATAACCATTATTATGTGGAAGGAGAATTGATTATTACTCTATATACTTTAGCAATAATTGTGTCCACTCCAAAAGAGCTAAAAGAGTAATTTTTACAATGTTTTAGCTTTGGGTAAATAATGGACAAAATCAGACATGGCACATTAAACTTCTCTTAATTCTTACTTTCTATGAAGTTTTGGGTGGTAAATGCACAATGCATGAAGGCTCTAACGGGAACAACCCCACAGTTTTTATAGGGTAAGTTTGTGTGCATCTTGACCCCGTAGAGCCCAATGAAATTTGGAATATACAGAGTTTGTTATTGTTGTTGAGTACTTTAACAACAAAGACAACAACAACACTAATATTAATAATACATACATACATACATACTAAAATCAAGACTAATGCAATATAGAGAAAGAAAATACTAGAGGAGCTCATATAACAGTCCTAGAAGTACTGAATGAACCTTAAGGTAAATGAGAGGTATGTTTTCTAAGCACATACTCCCTCCGCCCCAAAAAGAATCACAGCTCACTATCCAAAAATCACTAGAATTTTTGTTTATTCATACGTTTGAATCGATTGTTTGATTAAATAAAATATTCTTGTCACCTCTTATTTTGAAGAACTTTTGACGTAATTTTTAAATATGTTAATTTTATTTTTTATTTATACACAAATCTTTAAATAAAATGAATTGAAAAAACTTGAAATTTCACTTCGTTTTGCGTAATGTGGCAAACATTTTGGGACGGAGGGAGTACAAAAGTTTTCATGCAAAGAACATGAACGTCTTTGAAATGAAACTTCTTGACTCAAAAGTAAAATAAAACAATACTCCGTTTAGAAGAGTAAAAAGAAAAGAAAAGGGAAACTCACTTGAGACAAATTCACTGTCAAATTATCAGAGAGACCCATAACATACAATCGACTAGCTTTCCCATCTGCATACGTCCACCTTAACTTGGCTATAGGGATCTTGTCTAATTTATATCCAATATTGAGTTTACAATCAGGCGCACTTGGAAAAGAAAAGGGAGACTCTTTGCTAAAATCTTGTTCACTTTTAAAATTTGAAGCAGCAGGAATGCTCCAGACAGATATATCTCCATTGCTGTACCCAACAACTAATTTAGTTCCATTAGGACATGCCCAACAAGCTGCTGTCGCTTTTTTTACCTCATGACTTGCAAATTGCAGTGACGTTCCTCCAATTGTGAAGATGGTTTTGCTTTCTTGAAGTGCCCACCATACAATGAAACCATCTCGATAAATAATAAGTACCCTGCATCAGTATGAAGTTTCACATACATTCATGATTTGCCTATCAAGATGACGTGTTGCAGTTACAAAAAAACTTATCCTAGAATTCAGCACTGAAGATACCACTTGAAAAGAACCCTGCAATTTCACCTCTCATACGATGAAAAAGGCATGGTGGTCAATTCAAACTGTGACTTGGCACCAAAGTATTACATGTTAACAATAAAGAAACTAATGTACACATTTAATCTGGAGAATACATCAATGATATATGAAACTTTGCTTTCCGCAACAGAACTCCATAAGTGAACAATCAAGCACCGATAGAACTTAGAAGAGAGAAGAAACTGATCAAGTGGAAATCCTACCTTTTACTTTCTGCTGTGGGTTGGGGAAGGATTTCAATTACAGCATTATCCCCAGCATCATTTGAATTCCCTACACAAGGATTGCTTCATGGTCAAATATGAGGTATTTGTACTAGGCTATCAGCGAGCTGTTATCCACGTATTAAACTAAACTACTACACAACTAAAAGTTAAAATGGGACATTTTAAAAGTTAAAACGGGACATTTCAATTTCTTACAAGTCATTAACGTATTTGATAACTAGTTTTTATGAGTACTCTATATAAATAAAAGGCATTGTACCCACTGTGATGTTTATAAATGGGAGCATCTTACCTCCTTACGAGCCTCATGCGTGCAGAATGCAGCCGGAGTCTCTATTTTTTACTGCGTTATGACTTTTTTACTCTTCATTATCAAATATATATAACGTGTAAAAAGAGTTTAAACAATCAAACAAAGGTTTTCTGCTTATTGATGAAACCGTGAAACTTTTCTGCAAATCGAAAGAGAAAACTGAGAGAATAGAAGGGAAAATAAAGGGCCGAGAAAACAATGTTATATACTCCGTTTCGAAGAAAAAACATCCACCTTTTATCCCACCTAAAATATCTAAAATACCCCTAAAACAACTTCTTTATTGCGGGTAGAAATTGTTTTGAGGGTATTATAGACATTTTAGGTGGAGTGGAAATGTTTTGTGGGATGCACAAAAAGTGAAGGTGGAACTACTTTTCGAAACGGAGGGAGTATATAACAAGGACAAAGCAGTATATTACACAACCAAAAATAGATATTTGGCCAATGTGAGATGGTTTAACATCTCCAGCTGCATTTTGCGCGCGTAAAGGAGTAAAATGCAGCATTTTTAATATCATAAGAGTATGCCGTGGTACAAGGCCTTTTTATATTTTCACGAGTGGTCTTTTGAAGGTTATGATTTACACATAGGGATAGATTACAATCTACCCCGATTATTTTGTATACTTCATATTCAATAAGACGAATAACTGATGTGTAAAATCATTTTATTTTAGTTAATGGTAACAGAAAAAGGACTGAAGAATCTTAGGGACAAAGGTTTCCAACATATTCTTTGCATTCATTGTCTTAATTGACAAAACATGAGCAGCATTCACTAATCCGTAGAAAATATAGATAGTATAACTAACCCAACACCAACACCAACACTGCCTTTATCCAAAGTAACTTGGGGTTGGCCAAGGACAACTAAACAATAGAAAAAATAACAATAATGAATAATGAGATGGATGTCGATCTCACCATGAGATGCTGAAAAGGGAATATGATATTTCATTTTCTCTACATGGCACGGTTGTTTTTCTAGCTTGAAAACCCAAACACAACCTAGTGAATCTCCCACATAACTGTGAAAGCACAAGCAAGCCATTCACCCAAAATTTAAAGTACATTACTAGCATATATCATACAAGGCGATGGCTAGTGCAGGAAGACTAGGAAGACTTACATATATGGAGTATGTTGAATAATTGTAAGAGCTGTGATATCCCTTTCTAAGTCATGAACAATTGACAAGCTCTTCTGTTCTACATCCCATACCTGTACTTAGTCATATTTAAAGAACATATTAATCTTTCTCATTCTTATCAATCTAGACAAAAGATGAACTATAAGAATGGGATTCTAGTCAATGACTAGCCTCGATATGGTTATCAGCATTTAACTTGATGAGGAAGCCTTGGTTTTCCATAAACTGCAATGCAAGAAGAATCATTTATCAATTTGTAGCAATGCTCTAAGACCAATGTTACCATGAATTCACTTTAGAGTCTTTAATGCCCAAAGAGACAAAGTAGTAATGATTGAAAACAGTCTTTGATAGATTTAAATAGGACATATCAAACATATAACCATAGTTCCAGATTCCCTACTATCAATTTCAGCAATTGAAGACATGTAACATCTCCCTCAATCCACGGGTTTCGCTCTAGTGGGTGAATATTTGCTACTACAAACATGATTTTATCAAGTTCACAGCATTTCAATTCGTAGTATTTCGATCATAACCATGACGATGCATTTAGCAGCGGATTGAGATGATAAATATGTTACTCCATTTCACAGATTAAATAACTACCTGCAAGAATTTGCTTGGTAACATGTGAGGAGATTCCAGTAAAGCTTGGGCACCATCTTTCCCAAACACTTTGATTCTTCCATCTCTTCAAGACAGCCAAACCTTTACTGCATCAGTCTTTGCAGAAACACACAAAGGAAAAAAACAAATCATAGGGGGTGCAGAGAAAACACTGACTTGGTTGATATGGCAAGAATGTTCTGAATGGAGTCATGTGCCAACAGAAGAGCTCCTTGTGGAACTCCATAATGATATACCAAATGGGGGTTTACATCCTCAGGCTTTATGCCATCACTTTTGCCTACAGGCTACAAGACAAATATTGTTGAGTTTTTGGGATTTTGGTACCTGTTCATTATTTCACGCCTACTCAGTAAAAGCTATTTCTACCCCAAGGATTTGTTGGATTTAGATAGTGAAGAACAGTGCGAAGCAGTGTTAAACGAAGAACTCGATAGAATAACGAATCGCGTACGAAACGCTTTCAGATCAAAGTTATTTCGGGGTATACGAAATACTTCAATCGGATAAGACGTTAATTCAGAACAAGCACTCGAGAATCTATAACGCAACCCATACCACGAGACTCTATTTTATAGAGTCGAAAATCCTTGTGATCGGACATGAACGTTCGCGTAGATTTACGCGTACGTTCGCGCAAGAAGAAAAAGGTGCGAGTTTGAACGAAAGGTCTCCTGCGGTTGAAGGCTTAATTTCGACGTTTATCCATTATGTACGAGTCCTTTACTGTTTTGGACTCCGGTCACGAAAAAAAGGTGCGACACGTTCGCGTAGATTTACTGTTTTGGACCCCGGCCAGGGGCTGCCGCCCCTTGGACCCCGCTACCCGGGGGCGGCCCCGGACCCTGCAGTGAATTTATAATATCGTTGAACGAGCGCGCACTCCGCGCCTCCTAACTCGTTTGACAACGTCTATTTAAATTCTTGTCCAATCAAAGTAAATCCAATTACACAAAATAAATTAATGACACTAAAATCACCAACAGGATTTGTATCTCATTTTGTACATCGGGGATGCACCAACATTTTGTGTTTGTGTAATTCTAATTTTTGTGAACGCACCAACACTTTGTGTCAGTGTAAATTTTTGTTAACGCACCAACACTTTGTATTAGTGTGAACCATCAAAATGTTGGTGCATACCTTTGGTGTACAAATGGGGTACAAATTTTGGGGTACATGTAGCATGCTCCTTCAAAGAATAATAAATATTCTCTCCGTCCTAAAATGTTCTTCTCAATTACTTTTCACACGGTGAAACTTTAATAACCTTCTTTACTTATTTTCATTAGGTATTTGATAAAATAATATAGTCTTGTCACCACTTGTTTCATAAAAATTTTGATGTAGTTTTTAAATATATAAATTTTATTTTTTTAATTTTACACCTACAATCAAAAAAATTGAATTGAAAATAAAGTCGGCCAAACCTCGTAAACAGAAACAGGGAGAACATTATAGGACGGAGAAAGTAATCATGACTGGTTTTTTAATATTATTGACCCTATTACGATGTATGTAGTAGTATTTATTTATATTTTCTCAATATAATGGCGCAAAGTAAGTCAATGACTCCATATTCGCTGGGAATTGAACCTTGGGAAGTATACTTTCTACCAATCAATTCAAAAGAGAAGCTCGACTAGATGATTTTTTGTAGTACCATTGACACTATTACAATATACGGAGTAGTATTTATTTAAGCATACTTTTTTAACACACTAAAACATAAAGAGTCAATGTCCCGTCGTTGGGGTTCGAACCTGGGGGTAGGAACCTTAAATTTTATAAATAGATAGATCATCATAGGTAACCCGAATAATTTTAAGGTCAAAATAGCCCGAAACAGAAGAACTATGGTGTCTCACAACTGAAGGTCCAAAGAATTTGTGGGCCCCTGAATATTTTTTCGTCATGTTTGGGAACAATGTTTTCGATTAGCGTTAGTATTTTAGAAAAATTTTAAGGATGCAGATTAACTTTGAAACATCAAGAACTAAACATTGTAATTAGATAACCGTTCAAAATGTTAAAGCTAAACACGGAAGCCGTTGTCAAACTGATGGTCTTTTGGGCTTTGTTTGTTTGAGGGGAAGTGTGGAGGAAATGAGGGGAAGGAAAAGAAAATGAGAAGGAAATTGATAAAGTTCCATTATTTGGTCAGTTGGGAAAAAATGTGATGGAAATTGGAGATAAATTAAAATTAAATTGAAAACCATTTCCATCCCAGTTTTGAAATAGGATGTGAGGTAAATTAATTTCTCTCCCCTCTTTTCATCATTACTCGTCTGTTTATCATTTTTCTCTCGCATTTTTTCTCTTTTGCTCTGCCCTTATTTTCCTTTTAAATATATTTTTACTTAATCTTTTTATTGAATTAAGCAATATATATTTTATTCAATATTTTTAATTGAAATAAATTAGTTACATAGTATAGACATATATTTTAAAAATTGTTTTGTAATTAACATTTTAATAAGAACAATTATACTTTGATTTAAAAAACATACGTCCTCCCTCTCAATTTGAATTACAATTTCTCATTTACGAGGCAAAACCCCCTATTTTTAAAGTCAATTTATTTAAAAATTGGTATAAGAATAATTAGTACTCCGTAAAATTTACATATTATATAAAAAACTACGTCGAAAATTCTACAAAATAATAGATGATAAAAATATTTTTTTATATTAAATAATCAAAATACATACACAAATAAACAAACATTATCGAGAGTAGGTCCCAAAAAAATTATAATCTAATTTGGGATGGATTGAGTATGATTGTCATGGGTGATGAACAGTTCTTCTCGATAACAAATTCTTTCATACTCTTTAAGCCAGTACTCATTTTATAAATTGTAGTACATAAAATAATTATATATAGTGGCCTTGCTACAAAAGATAGAGATCTAATTATGAATCTATAAGAAATATGTGACAAAATTCACTCCCTCCGTTCCTAAAATATTGCCACAATTTGACTTTTTTGGTCAAAGTGTGAAACTCTTTAACCGTAAATTATGGAAAACATATCTTTCGTTATAATATAAATTTAGTAAAATTTGGTTTATATTAAAATATAATTTTGAAATATCAAATTTATATAATATTTAATTATTTTAGACTATATTTAATTCATGATCAAAAGATAACATAGTTTGATAAAATAATCAAATTGTGACAATCTTTTATAGATAAAAAAAAGTATTTCATAAGTGGATCTTATGACCATAATAGAACAACTCTTCTTTCAGTTTGTCTTTGAAACATCGGTATTTAGACATGTTTTTTCATTTTGGACCTCATCCCCGTATTAGTCTCATCCATGAACAACTTAAAATTTTCAATCCCAGCACTTGCGGGTACCGGATAAATTTCACCCATGATATACAAACTTTCATCATTATTTCACTTCGGTAAATAAACTTTAATTCATATCACAAAAGTACAAGAACTTTCAATATTCTTTCACCGGTGGTCCAATAGACGGTTTTTAAGTCACTTTTAGGTCATTTGGGTCAAATTATAATTTTATAAATTTAAATTTTATGATTTTGACCCATTCTCTTTTTTCTATTGATCCTCCACCATTTTCTTCATCTTCTTCAAGACCCCCCCACCCCCTCTCCATTTTGACCCATTTTTTTAAAAAAATAAAATAGGGTCCAAAATATAAATTTAGGATCGGGCCAATTTTATTTTTTCATTTTTCGGAGCCGACCCTGCACCAAGCTACAAAAGTCAAGAGATAGATATAATCACCAACACTGAAAAATCAATCTAAAGAAAAAGAGCAAAGTTGAATCATGTAAAAGTATCAAGAGTTTCAGCTAAAAATTTTCACTAGATAATGATAATAATAATAATAATAATAATAATAATAATAATAATAATAATAATAATAATAAGGGCTGGAAGAGGAAGAGAATAAAAAAATGGAGGGGGAGGGTGGGGGGTCTTGAAGAAGATGAAGAAAAGGGTGGAGAATCAAGAGAAAAAAGAAAAGGGGTCAAAATCATAAATTTTAAATTTATAAAATTATAATTTGATCGTAAATGACCTGAAGGTGACTTAGAAACCGCCTATTGGACCACCGGTGAAGGAATATTGAAAGTTTGTGTACTTTTGTGATAGAAATTAAAGTTTACATGCAAAGTAAAATAATAATGAAAGTTCGTATACCACGAGTGAAATTTATCCCAACACTTGCCGATTCAAAAATGCAACTGGCGACTTCGAAATGGGCTGGCCTAATATGCTCATGGTGGACTGGGCTATACTGCGCATTCGAAAAGGCTTTTTTGGTCCCGAATCTCCAGATGAAGCCCAAAGGCCCAATATTGTATTTCTATTTTCTTTTACTGCATTTCTTGCATTCAAACCGAAAGCCACATGGGCACATGGCACCAACCACACCAATCACCATGAATTAAATACGTCTAAAATAATCACCAAAAATAATTCATGTGTTTGACTTTTTTTAATTAAGTTGTGTAACAATTTGATAGCAAATTTATATAGTTTAAATAATTAAATGTTATAAAAATTTTGATATATCAAAATTATATTTAAAAATAAATTTAATTTTATTAATTTGTTTAAGTGTTATTGACTCGATTATGATATATAGTATTTATTCATATTTTTTCTCAATTTAATAACGCATAATGAGTTTACTAGTCGATGTCTCCGTCGAGTGATGAATTTGGTTGAACTTCTTCATAAATCTTGAGATGTGGACTTCCAACATTTTAAATTTTTATACTATTATCGACGCGATAACAATGTGGAATCTATTTATATTTTTCTCAGCCTAGCCTAATGATGCACAAAAACTCATTGCCTCCGCCTCTACTAGAGCTTGAGTTTGGGTGAATTTTCTCATAAATTTTGAGAAGTAGGTTTCCTATCACTAGGGAAGAAGCTCACTTTAAGTTGTTTATTGTTATTCGTAATATTTATTCAAATTTATTTTAAAATAAATGTTACTTAAAAATTAGAGTATAATAAAAAATGAAATATATAAATTTAAAAATTACATAAAAATTCTACAAGATATAAAATAATATACTCCATTCCTATATTACCTACGGAGTATTATTTTTCAAGAAGCCGGTTCTAGAGCCACTGGAATCCAGTGGCTACGGAAGCCACTGCCCCCCTACGGAGCTCCGTTCACGAAATTGATGATTCCTACCCCCCTAACCCCCCGGTAAACCCTCCCGCCAAGTCTCGACCCAAACTACTCCTCCCACCTACGTCAATTGCACCTCGCAAGTATAATTGAATTTAAAGTCAAAAACTATTTAAAAAACGGCATCTTTTATCAAATGTTAACAAAAACTATTTAAAAAAATATAATTAAAATTTGATCATATGAATATTTAACAAATAAGTTTAAATGAGACAAAGTGAATACTACCATGGTTTTTTGGAAAAATAAAGAGTGAAAAGAAAATAAAGAAAAATAAAAGTATAGGAAATATACTTTTATAAAATATAGAAAATTAAGTCATAAAGTTGGACACAAACTTTACAAACTTGTCATTTTTATATTTAAATGTTTATTTTTAAATTATTTAAAATGATTTTATTCACTTGAGAAAGGCACAAATGGCAAGTTTGTATCCAAATTATTTGTGACTCTAGCATCACTCTTGTTTTACTAAATGACTAACGAAAATATAAAAAGAAATTGAATGAAATTTGACTTTGTAAATAGTAAACATGTAATTTAATTTTGAAAATAAATCCTAAGATTAAATGTTAAATACTCACGTCTATTATTATTATTATTATACTAGTCTTTTTTAAATAAAAAAGTTTCATTTACTATTATCTAAACAAATTGATACTCCCTCCGTCCCTATTTTGAATTTTTTTTTCTTTCTTCTCGATAACTTTTGTTTATTTACGCGATTTCATTAAGTATTTGATAAAATAAAATATTTTTGTCACATCTTGTTTTGTAGAATTTTTTACGTAGTTTTTTTAATATGAAATTTTTATATCTTATTGATATATCAATTTATAACTAAAATGATTTCAAAAAGTAGAAAATTTTTCCTCGTAACCCGTAATTTGTAATCAAATTGGGGATGAAGGGAGTATATTTTAACTTTTAATTTGTGTGTGCATGGCTCTCTTTTGGTCACTATTCTAATGCTGGTAATTATAGTGCATAAAAAAGAAAGTAATCCAAAAGTAGCCTCATGCCAATCCTCATATTTTTTGAAAGTGAGAGGTCTAAGGGGATGTAGGTTGAAAATGGGAAAACGACTAAAATAAGAGTAAAATATTAAAAATAAATATAAAAAAAGTTTTATATCTTTGTTCATGAAATATGAGTTAAAATGTATTTACATTGTCAATCGTGATCATGTACATTACCAAAAAAATATACTCCGTAGTAAAATGTTTATGTACAATGTCACATTACCAAATATAAACTCCTATTTAGAAATAAAAGCATGGAACTTTTATTTTGATATTTTTTTTGTATGTTGCTCCTATTTAGGGTGATTTCTTTCAAATAATTTGGTTCTTTGCGTGCTCATGTGTAAAAGTATTTAATTGAGGCCTTTGTCCCGAAAAAATTTTTCCGTATGTTCTTCATATACAATATTTAACTGAAATTATTTTAATTTGATTAAAAATTGGTGTATAATTAAAAAATAATATATATATATATATATATATATATGTATGTATGTATGTATGTATGTATGTATGTATGTATGTATATGCCACATAGTATATCAAAAGTTGTACTCAGTACAAAATACAAGGTGACATTACTATTGTTTTATCAAATTAGTAAAATTGATAAAGTTTGAATATATGAATAGTAAATATGCATATTTTTATACGACATAATGAATTTCTTTTTCATATATCCTATATCCTATATATCCTTCCTATACACTCCGTGTATATATATATATATATATATATATATATATATATATATATATATATATATATATATATATATATGTAAAGTTGAGTGTGTTGGTTGTGGTGTTGACATGTAGCATGCTACATGTGCATCCAAATGTGTACAAATAATGAGGTGGAAGCATTTCATTGGTTTATTAAGTTTCTTTTTTAAAGATCTTTAAATATATTTTATTGTATTATATTAAATAAATATTATTTTTTAGCATTAAAAAAAATTAATTTAATTACATTTTGTATACAACTTTAACATTTTCTAACAATTTTATAAACATATATGTCACCATTGCAAATATTACTTCATATTTTAAATATGCATATTGATTGTAAGATTTTAAAGAAGAGTATATATAAGACTCTTTAATATTAATTTAAAATATTTCACTTTCATAAAAATTAAAAAACATTATACCTTCAAAGATATTAAATTGTTTTAGGCAATTTTATGTTTTATTTAATGTTATATGTTTTTAAATAAAATAGTTATAGAACTTTTAGTGCATTTACATCAATACTTAAAGTATACTTTTTATTTAAAAAATATACTCCGTATATCTTAGAGTGAAAAAATATTCATTTAAAATAAATAAAATTATATTTATAAAATATTAGAAGTTTAGAATGTATATGAGCCCGTGTGAAGCACGGAGTTAACACTAGTTGCTAATGTAATGTAATGACTTTTATACCTACTCTGCATTTTACTCCGTAGCATTTATTTACTTGTTCATTTATTTATACTTTTAACTTTACTTTTTATTATTTGAAAACAAAAAAAATTTCCTTCCGTCCCAATAAAACTATTGCAAGTACTATTTTGGCTTCTCGATAATTTTTTTTTGACGTTTTGTTTATTCATTTTCAGTGACCATTTGAAAACTAAAAAAATCACATCTGTTTTGTAGTAAAACTCTTTTATTTACTTTGAACGATGTAATTTATATCTTTAATTTCTCTACAAATGAGCAAATAAAATGATTTTAAAAAAACAAATATTTTAAGCAATGTTGGAAATGTGGTGAATTCGAGCATGTAACGTACGGATCATAATCATTTGTAATCCCACTCAAACGGATACAGTAATCACGTGGAAATGATCACAGATCCTCTTTAATTTCACTCAATTAATCCAAGAGTAATTTACTTAAATAAAACTAAAACATAATGATTTTCTTAATATAAGACCATATGTTTTAATTTTTTAATGTAAGATCATTAGTTACTATCTATTAGTCACTACTCAACTAATTGTCCAGCATCACTTGAACATTATTCTTCTCACTAGTCATTATTAAGTCGTATTTAGAGAATAAAAAATTTTAAATCATATATTGAAAATTGCTTTAATCTTCTTTAGTACAAATTTCAATTAATCAAATCAATTTCTTATCTTTTCAACCCAGTCAAAATTCTTCCGAGCATTTCAAACATTTTTCTTGAATAATCGTTCGATCACCTAAACACATATATGTATCCGAAAACCGCCATGATTTCACCGAGCAATACTCAATTCAAATCTCCAGGACTTTCAAAAAAAAACACACAGAAAATAAAATAAAATAAAAAAATCCTAAAATTTGGAATCTGATCATTCCATTCCGATCAGCGGAATTAAGGCAGCATATATTCTAGCAAATCTCTAACAACTTAACTTGGGAAGAAAATCAGAAATCTTCGACTGATCATTTCGATTTCGGATCCGATTTCGAAGAAAACACATAGAGATCATGTAAACGAAACAGAGATGGAGAGTAGAGCAGAGGAGAGTGTATATATATATATATATATACATACATACCTTCTTATGATGATTAAAAGAAGCCTTCTCCACGAGCTTCTTCACGAACATCTATTATATATCTATGGCGGGCGAGCCCGTGTGAATAGGGATGAAGACGATGAACAGATTCGAGCGAGAGAGAGAGAGAATGATTCGGTTTGGACTTTGGAGAGAAACTGGGAATTAAGAAGAGAAGGGAGAAAATGGGATTTGCAGTTTGGATCTTTGCTTGGTGATTTGGATTTAGACAATATGCCTATACGCGGGTCCCGCTCCCCCTTTACATTTATTGTACTCCCTATATAAAAATACTCCCTCCAATGCTCCTTAGGGTTAATTTTTCTTTGTCAAAATTTGTAAATTTTAACTTCAATTTATAGAAAAAGTAGATTATATTATGATACAAATTTAATATTAATATATTCTTTTAATAAAAAAATATTTTTAATGTGGGAAGATATAGAAAAATAATATGAACCCAAGATGCATCATATAAGCTAGTAATAAAATAGTCTTCTTCTCACTTACAGGCTTAATCAGTAGCCACATATTTTCACTTAATTTTCTCATAAATATTTTTATCTCAATACTATCATATTCATCCTTCCTAAATGAACTTTCAGTAACTTCACATCAACGTTATTTCTTTATTTTTATATAACAAATATTTTTTAAAATTAAAATAAAAATTAAGTAAGTAAAACTATGAAAGACTAAATAAATAAAAATAAATTACATTAAAATTAATAGGAAATGGTTACAAACTAGCCGTTTGGAAAAGACAAAATAATAGCCGTTAAAAATTTTAAAACTAAACGTTATAATAATTATGATGCTTGACTGGAGTTATTTTTAATTTAATCTATTTGAAGATTGGGTTTGAATAAAGAATAAAAATTACATATTTTAAAACTACATCATAACTATTTATAATGTCAATTTATTTCAATTTCTTTACATATTTTCATTCATTATTTAATAAAATAATACATTCATACATGTTTTGACTTGATTTGCATGCAAAACTTTTAATGTACTATTTAAATTTTAAATAAATGTTTCCTTCACCCTAGAGTATTTAAACAAGTTTACCTTTTGGCCTGGTCTATTTTGACAAACTTTGCCAATCAAACAAATTTTTTTATTTCATATCAATGCAATACTATAATTTGGTGAATTTATCAAAACCGTGATTTGATAAAATAATAATGATACACACAAATAATATGATTTTAAAAAATAATAATGATACACACAAACCGTGAATTTATCAAGTAATGCTCCATATGATTTTAAAAAATAATAATGATACACACAAATACTATTTCCTTCGTCCCAGTATATATGTCCATTTTAAGCTCTAATTAAATAAAAATTGTAATAGATATTACTACATTTGTCTAACTTTGACTTTTTATAATCAAAATTGTCAATCTTTGAGTTTTGATCAATAATTAAATAAAATTGATATTAGAAATTGATACAAAATAACTTTATTAGACTTATTTGATAAAATAGTTTTACAATATCATTTTATCTAATAAAAATACTATTATATTTAATTTAAGGCCAAACGTTGAAACTGGTTGATTGTAAAAAGTCAAAACTAGACAAATATTCAAAGACGAATGTAGTAATATAAAAATGATTTTATTAAATTTATCTTGTTGGTAATTTTTAAATTTTTTTATCATATTAAAATATAATACCCTCTCCGTCTCTGTGTATTTGTCCATTTTTAATTTTTTTCAGTCAAAATCGATAAACTTTGACTTCAAATTAAATAAAAATCATTTTAGATATTGATAAAAAATAGTTTTATTAGATTTATTGTATCAAATATTTATAAAATATTATTTTATTTAATTGATATATAATATACATTTTATTTAATTATAGATCATAGATTAAAAATAGTTGATCAAAAAAAATCTAAACTGGACAAATACTCAAGGACGGAGATAGTATTAAATAAGAATAATAGAATATAAAATTTATCTAATTTGATTCTAAAAAAATCAAATTAAACAATGACAACCTTACTATTTAAAAAAAAGAAATGAGTAAAGTAGTAGTGAGACAATCCCATGAACTCTACAAGGCGATGGTGTATATTATTTGGACACGTGGCGAGCGGAAAAGGTTGATCCGAATTTTGCGAGAGAGAAAGGACTTGGAGCATCTAACCGTCTCAAAAGGGACAAATTTGGAACCAGTATTATCAGGACACGTGTTAAAATAGTCATTTTGCCTCAAACGGAAACTAAACTGCAATTTAGACATAAATGTGGGCCCGCCGGCCACCTGCCCTTGTACACCTGTCCTAAAGCAAAAAGACCAGAGTGGTTGAACCCGATAGATCCGATCCATACACTCATATATTAGTCCACCAAGAGGATGTCAAGTTCGTTAATCTTAAAGTTGAATCATGGCAGCAACGGTGTAGAAATTTAATTATTTTTAATAGCTTCTTGTGCGGCACCTCGTGTGGGTGTTCCACCTTTAGAGTATGAAAGTTCGAGATTGAGATTATACTATGATTTATCTCTCTCAAAATCCTGTCAGGTGTGAGGCACCTCGTGTGGGTGTTCCACCTTTAGAGTATGAAAGTGATATTTTTAATTTTTGTTGTTAAAAAATGCACCATTTTCGATTATTCCCAAATTTTCTTTTGGATTTTATTTTTTGGAAATTTTTTTTACAACCTTCGTACTAAATTTATTTTTCTTGTTTGACATCACATAACTTTAAAAAATACCAAAAAATAAAAATTGAATGATTCAAATGTGTTTAGAAGAAAAATCAAAATTTTAGATCACATACTTCTGAGAATGTTTTATTTTATTATGAATGTAAAGAAGTTTGGTGATTATTTTAGAAAAAACTAAAAAGAAAATTAAGATGATTATTTTGAGAATAAGAGAATACATTCAAATGTCTTTTTTATCTTCACTCACCCATCCTCCTATTTATGACAGCATCAAATGATACATCTCACCCAAATTTTTGGGCCGATTCTTGTGCTTTGGGCCGGGTAAAGATTGGGTTGGTTACTTTATTACCATAATACTCTCAAATCAATTATATACTCTTTTTTGCTTCAAAAAAAATTATACACTCTTTTTTTCAAACAAACACTACAAAAAACCGCGTAATTGGCACGGAATTATAGACACGGACATTTCGTGCCTTCATCGAAGGAAAAAATTAACGCCACGCGTCGCTATTTAATACGTGAAGGGCGTTGCTCTAGCTCTTCCGTGCCTACATCCGTGCCAACACCGTAATTCTAAAACCGTCACCGGCTTCACTCGACGGTGTTAAGTCCAAAACATAGACACAGAATAGTCCGTGCCCATGGTCGATACTAGAACCTTCTCTGACAAAGCCGTTGACGAGCTTTACGTAGGCACGGATATTACCGTGCCTATACCCTACCTTTTCCTGCATTAATTATGAAGCGCATAAGTTACGGACGTAGACACGGATATATCCGTGCATATAACCCTTCCATTGCCCGCATTAATTATGACGCGCATAAGTTACAGACGTAGGCACGAATATATCCGTGCTTATAGCGCGTCTTATTAAAGTGTGTCAGGGTTATAGCGCGTCTTATTAAAGCGCGTCTTATTAAAGTGCGTCTTAAAATCCGTGCCTAAGTTAAAGAATATTAAAACTCTTTCATTCGATCAATCTCATCTTTTCACAAACTCCCCAACCCTTCCCCATTCTCCTCCAATGCCGCCGCAATTCTCCTCCGCCCTTACCCGAGCCCGTCCTCAGCCATCTCAGATCCATCTCTTCTCCCTTTCTAACAATGTCTTCTTCAAGAAACACTTCTTCTCAGGGGAGTATCCGTGGCCGGGGTGGGTTAGCTTCCGCTAAGCGCCCACGGTTCATCACCAACTCCGATCTGAAGGGGTAAGTTTTTTACAATATTTATGTTTTCCCTTTCGATTTTATTTTTCAAAAATTTATTACTTTATTTTTCCTTTTTTTGTTCAGCCAGCAGTCGGTCATAACTTAATTCATTTTTTTACTTTATGTGAATAATTTAATTCAATTTTTTTAATAGGAGGAGGAGGAGCATGACACGCCCAATTTCTTCAAGGTCGTCAACCGGTTGTTTGTGAAGAAGGTGAGTTTTTTAATTCCCTTACTCTAAATTATTAACTTTCATCTTTAATAAAATTTAAATTGTTTTTACTCTTTTTTGTATAGAAATTGCATGCAAGGAGAATTGTTAACTCAATTGAAAGTTTTGGTCAATTTTTTGACCCAAGGCATGTATTCGTCTCAAGTTCGGTCTCTCATGAATTCGAAGTCCAAGCCCAAAATTCATACATAATTCTAATAAATGTGATGTTAAAAGTTATTTAAATCATGATAATTTGTAACTTTTATTTTTATTTGTGAGATGAATGTGGTATGAAAATATATTATTTGTTGGATGTGATGAATATTATTTGACATTTTATTTTAATTTAATTAATTAGTTCTGCTATTATGGTGTGAATATTAGATGCTTTTATTGTTAAATTTTATGAAATTGCCGAATTAAAATTTATTTTTTTAAAAAAAATTAGGCACGGACAGTTCCTTGACAAAGGGGACAATATTTATTATTTCGAAAAATAAATTTTCAAATTTTGAAAATTCGAAAAGGCACGCAATGGTAAGAACACTCGTTTGGCACGGCGAGATCCGTGCCTACAAACATTGACGTTTTCCTTCAAACCGTGAGTTTGGAATGGTGTCGGCACGGGTAATTCCGTGCCTTTCTATGGCACGGACAAGAAATCCGTGTCATAAGTTTTGTAGCTTCGAAATTGGCAGGTCTTTTTATCCGTGCCTATTGCTATTGCCACGGAAAATTAAAATCGACGTCCGTGCCAAAGTCCGGCCAATAACGCGTTTTTCTTTGTAGTGAAAATCACTTAACTGGGAATTTTGTGTCAAATTTAAGATTATTAGTTTTTTTAGAAATTAATGAAAAAAATCAACGAAATTATTAGAAAATATCTATTACCGACCCAAGTATTAAAAGTAGCACTCATTTAAAGGAAAGGCACGATTGTGTTAAAAAAAAGAAGATTATATGATCATTTAGAACTTTATTTTTTAAACTAATTTTTTTTATTTTTAATAAAATATACTCGTATTCATTAGTTAACTTATGCACAACATTTTGAAAAAATAAACCAAACAACATACGTATGAAAATTTAAAAAAAGTGATTGTTTATATATATATATATATATATATATATATATATATATATATATATATATATATATATATAACACAACAGTTGCATTTAATTTTTTTTTCATTAACAAATTTATTTCTTTGAAATCATCACACTCCTCCGGCGCACCTGACATTTCTGGGCTCTTTGCATGCAAGCAGTTCGTGTGTGCTATCCTGTGATGGAAGAGAGAATATGATGGAAATTTTCCTCCCTGATGAAGAGGTAATTAAATATTTTAACTTCATGCGTGTTGTTTCTTCATTATTTTCTACTCCAGTTCGTTTCAATAAACTCTTCCCTTTTTGACTTTTAGCCAAAATAAGATAATTATATTTATGGTTGACTTTCTAATTTTGTTCTTGATGTGATAGGTAAAAGTAAGATGTGATTGTTGGATTATAAGTGAAAAAGTATCATGAGATATGTAGGGTATTAAAAGATAGAGATAAAAGTAGTTTTTTAATAGAGGGTGGAAGTATTTTGGGGAAGTATTTTTGTAAAAAATATTGTTTAAATTACCTATATATTTTCTAAGAATGCATTATTAATACTGTTTTTAAACACAATTAATGTTTTTAAATCAATGCATGTTTAGATTCTCTAACTCAGATATTTGATCAAATTATGTCTATAGTTTGGCGAAAATTTTCTATTTTAGTTTATATCTTGTGTATTTAGTTCAATTTTTGTTTGTTTGTTTTGTATAGTTTGGAGAACGAAGAATTATGAAGCTCTCTTTCTAGGTATAAAATGATGGAGGTATTGTCACAAGGCCCAAACGCTAGGCTGCCCTTTAAAGATGAAGAAGTATGAAGTAATCTATTGGGCTTGAAATCCAATCCGACCCGTCAAAACCATAGCCCGAGGCCCGAGCGATCATGCGCCTAACCAAGCCCTAAACGGATAGGGTCACATATTTTAGATAACCTGCAATCTTAATACCTGCAATCTTAAGCCCCAAACGGATAGGGCAGCGGTGGATAATTAATACTCCCTCCGTCCCCTTGTATTTGTTCACTTTCATTTTTACACACCATTCAATGCACTTTTTTAATCCATTTTATCTTGTAATTTTTATATTAAAAAATTATAAAAATTATATATAATCTATATGTTAAGACAAATCAAACAAGATCACATATGACTATATTTAGGCTTACATATTGAGAGGATTTGATTAGTCAAAGTACTTAGATGAACAGTTCCAAAAGTCAAATGTGGACAAATACAAGGGGACGGAGGGAGTACCTCTTACCATGCCTGCCACCTACCTCAACATGCATCCTCCTTCAGCGTGGCGAGGCACCCTGCCTGCCGAGCCATGTGCGAGTCAGCTCTTTTTTTCTTTTTTGTTGATTTTTTGTGCAAGAAAGAATTTTTGTTAAAAATAGAATTTTTTGTACTGTATATCTATTTTTATGACAAAAAAGATAAGTAAAATAATTTTTAATAATTAAAATACATTAAAAAATTATAAAAAATGATAAAAACAATAATTTGTATTGCATGGCATGTCACTCCTTTTATTTGCTACACTTTGACTGTGTTGTATTTGATTGGATAAATGTGTCATGTCAATGTGTGACATTCCAACTCTTTACTTGCCATTACTGATGCTATAATATATAAATATAAGAAAAAGGGCGAGATCGAATTTCATATTGCTTAAATATGATTCATTTCTCTCTCTCTCCACACACACACACATATCATTGACGAGCTATTCCATCTATCACCATCTTAATTCTCTCTAGCTATTTGCGCTGGATTACATGAGTGCATCACATATTCACATGTATAGTATGAGAAAGATGAAATTAAATTAACAAGAAAGGGGTCTATCTCTTAGAGCATCTCCAACCTTATCAATATGGCTTGCTGAAAGATATATAATAGCAAGTGAATCTCTTTTTTCCATCTCCAAGGGATATGATATATTTAAACATACTTGTCAAAAATTAAAATTGGCTTGCTAAACCTAGCAAGCCATCCAAATAAAAGCAAGCCAAGAAAATTAATAAAAAATTAAATTAAAATCCAAAAAAGTAACAGGAATAGGAAGAGGCACATGAAAAAGTCATTCTTCTTCGAGGCAATCACTTAATTAAGTGAAATTAAGTAAAAATTAATGATTTTCCCTTAAGTAATATAAAATTTTAGATCAACAATCAATTTAAAATCGTTCGTACCAACCTACTACCTAATTTTTTGATGAACGATTTAATGATAAATGATCAATTTTAAATTGTTTAGCATTTTAATATAGCAAAGATGGTTGGAGATGCTCTTATAATTTGCAATAATTAAGTTCATCATCATCATCATAAACTAGTACTTTGTGTCATTCTAAAAAGATGTTCCCATTTTGACTTTTAGAAGATTTAAGGGAGATATTTTTGTGTTGACTTTCCAAAAATACCCTTGATGTGATGAATAAAAATATGATGTGATGTGTAGATTATTAGTAAAAATGTATGATGTGCTAGGTAAGTTAAGAATTAGTAGAGGTAAAAGTGACTTTTTAATAAAAATTAGAAAGATTTTGTGGACAGGTAAAAAAAGAAAGGGGAAGGAGATTTTATGACGGAAGGAGTACTTTCTTAGTTTTATACGGAGTACTTCATATCTTTCTTTTTCTATAATTTTTACGGTCTCAATGCGTAGTCATTAATATTTCTATTTATATAAACATAGAGAATATAAGAATATGATATTTCAGAACAATGTTTTGAATTGTATCTTCTGATATTAAATTCATATACCAATCTTTAAATAAAATAAATTGAAAAAACTTGAGATTTTACCTGATTTTGCGTAAAAGATAAATTTAGGGACAGAGGGAGCATTTTTTAATAATACTCCGTATGTTGTTAAAGTTTTAAAACACAGACTACAAAAATTAAACGAGAAAGAAAGTTATGAGAGGGAAGGAATAAGATGATTACATTCTCTTGGTGGTGTGGTGGTCCAGTGGCAGCAGTTTGTTGATCCTTTATAAACAAACAACAAAAAGCTTACCAATTTTCCAGCGATGTAAAGTGTCATTAGCTTTCGTTCCCGGCCCGGCCCACTCTTTCCTAACTCCCACCATTATACTCCTATTATTATCATTGATCCGGCCCGGGCCCGGGCCCATTTATTCTCATTCTATTTTTTTTCTTCTTCTCAATACTCATGTACTCCTTTCCTCTCCCATAAATCTTCTTTTTATGTACAAGGCTTGATTGGCTTTCATTTTAATTTTAATTTATTTATTTTTGTTTCATAATTTTATTTATTTTATTGTAGGTGTAAAATTTAAAAATAAATTACATTAAAAAATTGCATAAAAAATCTTACAAAACAAGAAGTGAAAAGACTATTACCCCTCCGTCCACAAATAAATTTCATGCTCACTATTCACAGAGTCAAACTTTATTCACTCTGTTGGCCTATTTTCATCATCCATTTGATAAAATAATAAAGTCATGTCACCTTTAGTTTTGTATTGATATAGTTTTTTGATATTTAATTTATATTTTTAAAATTTACACCATTTTCATATAAAATTATTTGAAAATAGTTTCAGTCAAACATCGTAGCGTGCAATGAGAAGTTTATTTATGGACAAAGGGAGTGTATTATAAAATGAGTAGCAAAAATAAGCACACAGAATGATTAATTTTTTTAGTGTTATTGACTCGATTACAATATAATATTTGTTCATATTTTTTCTCAATATAATGATGCACAAAGAGTCAATGGGACTCACTTATGTGAATATTGGGAAGTAAACTTCTTACAACTCAAGCCAAGAAAGGAGTTCAAAATGATTAATTAATAATACTCTCTTTCCATGCCATTATATATACACACGAGAGTTTTTTATATTCCCATATAACTCTGATCTTAGCTACCCTTTTTCTTCTTCTTCTTAACCTCTCCAAAAATAAACCCCATTGAAGCAATTGCGGCATTGGTGATTTATTCTTCCAATAAATGTAAGTTCATGTTTGTATTTTTTTTGTATTTTTAAAATTAATCCAGAGTCTTGATAATTAAAAAATCAATAGAGTATAATTTATATTGATCGTTTAATAAAATGAAATAATTAAATCATGCCTTATTTTATACTCTACAAAGCAGATTTAAAATGTTAAATAAGTTCTTCAAACAAAGTTTATTCCTCCTTAGTGTCAACTGTCAACAATGTTTTATAACATATGGCTATCTAAGATATTTTAGATAACCCGGTCATACTAATTTAAAACATGTGGAAAAAAATTATTAGATAATTCTACACTAGTTTTTAGATAATTTAAATTGAAAATTGTTTCAATCAAACACCGTGAAGTGATTCCCAATGAATGACACTCATTCACTTTAACCTAGAAAATCTAAAACACCTCAATGAAATCAAATTTTAAAAAACTACAAAATATATATAAATTTTTGATATACTTTTTAAATATATAAGTTTTATTTTTTATTTGTATATTAGTTTTTAAATAAAATGGATTTAAAAAATATAAACTTTCACTTCGTTTTGTCGAAATTTAAATCATTTAGGAACGAAAAGAATCCTTCGTAGTGTCATTTTTGGTACAAAAAAACTACTCTGTGTTTCAGGCCTACCACAAATTCAGTGCATTCAACCTTTCCAGTCAAGTTTTATCCTATGTGCTCATACATATCTAAATCTGCAGCTTTTGTCAGACTTATACAGCCATGATCCCATCACATTTTGTACTTCAATTTAGTTAGTTTTGATTCACACTAGAAACGCTCCTTTCTCATGAAAAATCCCCTCGCCTCCCAATCTTTTACACTTCAAATTTGGGAGGAAAAGAAATAACGAAAGAAAAAATTCTTTCTTTTCCTTCTTAATTCCTCAAACCAAACATAGTACTCCGTATTAGACCAAGATTATAGTTCAATTTACCTCTTTTAGATAATTGTCGCGTGGGGGAGAAAGGAATGAGATTCTGAGAGTAACTTCCTTTTTTTCCTCCTTTTTCCCTGAAAAAGCTTGAAACTGAACATGTGACATGTTGGTCTCCAAAGGGTACACATCAGATAAGTGAGTGGACGACTTTTTGGCCTTCCATTATGTTATACTCTCTGGCTGGCATGCCAGACTAACATGAACCCATTTCATTTCCATTCCTACTGAGCTCCAAATGAAAAACCAGCTTACCCATGATGAGGATGAAATAGGAATGACAAGGAGAAGAAGAATACCGAGCAAAGGGCAGAACGGTCAAAGTGCGGTGGCGCGTCTAATGGGCGTGGATATGTCACCTTTCCTGTTAGATTCAATGCCAACTTCAAGACAGAACAAGAAGAAGAAGAAGAAGAGTGAGAAACCAACCCCTCGTCGCGAACATCCTCAGGAGGAGGAGTTAGAGAAGTTCAAGAAAGAGTTTGAGGCGTGGCAAACTGAAAAACAAAACGCCTTTTGTCTCAACAATGTGAGTTCGAAAATCGTGGTAGTGAGGCCTGATTTTGATGATATTGAGGCTGCCATGTGTGGGTCCCAGGCCAGCTCTCCCCGCCTTTCAGAGGAAAGAGGAGGCCATAGCATGGAAGACTTTCTTGAGGAGGTGAACAAAAGATTGAGGCGCGAATGGCGCGAAACTCAATGCAGAGGAAGAGGAATTGAAACGCCTTACAGTGAAAAATCTCCTTATGAAGTCGAGACAAAACTCTCGCCTAGGAGCCTCATCCGTTCTTTGTCTGCTCCCATATCAAGAACGTCCTTGGGATACCTTCTCTTGGAAGAAGCAAAAAGGAAGCGAGGAGCCAATGACAGGGTTGCTTTGAGTGCTCTGGATCAAAACAAGAGAAAAGAGAAGTTCAGCCTCAAGGAAAAAGTCTCAAGCTTCAAAGCAAAACTTTTTAGTAAGAAACTTCAACCATTGGAAGGATCACATGGGAGTTGTGGGACTAAACACATCCTCAATGACTCAACAACAATGAATCTTAATGAGAGACATGTATGATTTTGAAACTTCCCCGTAATGTTTTCCTTTCATAGATTGATGATAAGAGTAAGAAGTTGACATCCGGATCGTTTATGTTCTTATCTTAAAGCTTGTTTGGTTTACACAGGAGAATTTCACAGAAGTGCCACCAAGTCCTGCATCTGTGTGCAGCAGTGTTACTGAAGAGTTGGGGTGGAGGCCGGGAGGAGATTATTCCCATATTTCAAGCCCAGCTTCGACTCCGGATATACATCCTCTGGTTGAGAGTGACATGCCTCGCATTTTCAGAGAAATCAGCTCTAACATAAGGGGTAAGAGTTAGTTATACTTTAACTCCTCTATAGTGTAAGGGCAAATCTTGAAGTCTTTGTGTTTTAGACTTATCAAGAATGAACTGTTTCATTTGAGCTTATTAATGGTTGATGTAGCTCAAAAACTTATATATAGGTACAGAAATAATTTATACGGAGTAATTTATCAGTTTGACATTAATCTTGAAATATTGGTTCAGAGCTTCGGAGGCAATTGAATCAATTGGAAACTGGCGAGGCAATGACTGATGAGCAGCCTCGGCCTCCTCTTGAGGAAGAAATGATGATGGAGATTCATGACAATGCCAAAGCTTATATAAGAGATCTGCTCATTGCTTCTGGTCTCTATGATGATAAATACCCATCAAGATGGGACCCATTCGGGAAGGCCATAAGCGACCATGTTTTTGAAGGAGTAGAGAATGCTTACAGGCAAAAAAAGGCAGAGGGAAATGAAGAGGAGAGGTTGAATCACAAGATGCTATGTGATTTATTGAATGAAGCAGTGCCAAATATTCTTCAGGCACCTTTGACACTGTCCAGATTCATGGAAGATGTTATTACAATGTCGCGACCTCCACGGGGAAGGAAGTTACTGGATTGTGTCTGGGAAATGACTCGGGCGTACATTTACCCAGGGGCAGATCTGTCTTATTGTTCCCTTGAGGGTATGGTGGCACACGACTTGAAGTCCACCCCGTGGTTGGTTGTCAGCGAGGAAGATGGGAATGCTATAGGCAAAGATGTTGAGTCTCAGATAACTGGAGATTTGATTCAAGAGATTTTAGAAGATATGAAACCACTATCTTGAAGGGAAGTGCTAATTTGAGTTAGGCGGATTGTAAGGCTCCATTTGGTTGGACTAATCGGCTTAAGAATAATCTGGTCGAAATATTAGTCCATGATTTGTCATCTTCCACCAGATAACTGCATAGCTTCCTGGTTGTAGCGTGAATCTGCAGGTCCCCGGCGTCTTTCATAATAATCTTGCCTGCTACCGGTTGCTTCAATATGTTGCCACTCTTCCCACCTTCCACCAGCAAGGCTCTCTCCTTCCAACATTCGAACCACCAATGACATCGTGGGGCGGTCTTCGGGTGATGCTTGGGTGCACAACAGTGCCATCTGAATCATCATCTCTACTTCTCGGATGTCATAGTCCTCCAGGTTCCTGTCCACAATGGCACTGAGCATTTTTTCTCTTTGCAGCTTCTTAACCTTCAAAATGGCATGTATACAAACATGGGTCATCCCAAAGCTGATACTAGAAGAGAGACCTTAGAACAATAAAAACAGATCTTGCACATAATTAAATCAAGGGGAAAATCCCATTTTTATTCCCTAAAGAACAGTTCAACATTTTGTAATCTTGACCTCTCTTTCAGAATTTGTAAATTTAGGCGCAATTTGGCGTTGATTCTGAAAACTGATTCTGTTCATTCTGCAAATTCTCATCTCAGAATAACTAAGTGTTGCATTTGTTTTAGATTTTGAAAAAAATCGGCGGTTGTTTCTGCTTGATTCTCCAGAATCTGCAAATTCTGAAACAACTGATTCTGGAAACGAATTAGGCAAAAACAGATTTAAAGCCAAATGCGCCATTAGTCTTAAGGTTCATGAGTCATTTTCAGTAAAATAGAGTTCCCCACCCCCCCCCCCCCAGTAGCAAGAAGTTGCTTAAGTGCTTAACTTACATGATCAAGCAATAAGACATCTTCCGCTTCTTCGAGACGAGAGAATTCTATTGCACGCTGACCTGTCACGAGCTCTAGAAGCATGATTCCATACCCGAAAACATCGGTCTTTTGTGATGATTTTCCAGTAGACAGATATTCAGGAGCTATGTGACCCATTGTGCCGCGTACTTGAGTCAGCACATTGGTCTGTCTAATGTCTACCAGCTTTGCCAACCCAAAATCACCAACAACGGCTTCAAAATCTTTGTCCAGCAACACATTGGCAGCCTTAACATCACGGTGAATAATTCTTGGATTACAATGTTCATGCAAGTATTCAAGTCCACGTGCTGTCCCTAATGCCACTTTCTTTCTAGTAGGCCAATCAAGAACAGGCTCACCAGCTTTAAACTCTGGAAATGAATCAAATCTATTTAGAAGACAACACATGAAACCCATGCCTAGGGGTGAGATATCGTAAAATCAAAAAGTGATTGCACACACAGAATTGGTAAATTATAAAAAAGAAAAATCTAAGGTTAGAGGTACATTTTGCTGAAATTACTGCAGATAATCATTTTAGCCTTTTCTTCATACATTTTAGACAAATTTTTTTCACGATTCAGAAATTCGGAGTGGGCTCTCAATACAACCACAACAACAAACCCAGTAAAACCTCACAAAAAGTAGTAACAGGAGTACCTCGTAAACGGTAAGCAACACTTAAATTCTCCATAAATGGGTAAACCAGAAGGCGCTCGGTTGGCGTGGTGCAAAATCCAATGAGACCTAAGATATTCCTGTGGAAGGCCACACTAATCATCTCAACTTCGCGCAGAAATGCAGCATCTCCACCAGGACTCTTATAGTCCGTTAGCCGTTTCACAGCAATTTTAGTATTGTCACTAAGCACCCCTTTGTATACTTTCCCAAAACCTCCCTGACCTAACACGTTCTTCTCATTGAAGTAGTCAGTAGCTACTTGTAATTCTGTATACACAAATCTCTTTAGTTGATCAAAGTCAATCTCACGGTCCACTTCTCCTGAAGACATGCCAAAGCCAGAAATGATCAAAAATAGAAGATAGTTATGTGGGTTTACAGATCTTTGGATTAGACTAACTTATCAATTGCATTCAATCTTTTAAAGTGATTTGACCCGTTGGGTCAGACTAACTTATCCACAAAATTATCAAAAATAGAAGATACGGGGTACTTCGTAGTTACAGTGCTCTGTTCAACCCCAAAATGGTTCCTACCTCTCCTAAGTCCTAACCCCCAGAAATTCCCTGCCCCTTGGAATTGCCGATTTGCTACAGTAAATCAAATCGGTGACAGCCCCCTCAGCCCCTTGGATTCACCTATCTGCTACAATAACATTGTACCAAATCGGTTAATTCGTGGGCAAGGGATTTGTGGTGGGGAGGGGGGGGGGGNGTCATAATATGACACCCAATACCTATCTCAAAAGAAGCGTGGTCCACAAACATATTGAATAAAGCTTAATATGGATCACAATTAACATAAAACCTGGAACATCTACAAAGACATCATGCCTGTAGCAATTGCATCGGTCCCTCCATAGATAAAGCAACAAGCTTCCCAGAAAAACAACGATGAACCCACAGACAATCCCCACGATCATTCCAGTTTTTGACTTTTTTGTGACATCTACAAATATTATGTAAATCAACTTGTAACTGTAAATCAACTTGTCCCAGATTCAGTTTCATGTTTCTGATTGTTTTATATTTGAAGAATAAATGTAAAACATGACTTAAATGGAATTTTTTTATATTTGAAGAATCAATGTAAAACATGACTTAAATGGAAGCCACAGTTCTCTTAGTTACCTTCACGATCAGGTTCACAATGATGACTGGAACGGAAGCCACAGATCAAATGGTTCCCTGTAAAACTAGAAGAAGAAAAAATCAAGCTAACTTTGTACATAGAACAACTGGAGGAGAAACGCTGTTTTGTACATAGAACAACTTATTTTCATGTAAACAAACGGGGCCTAGACATCACAATAACAAGAAGGTTCTAATTAAACGCCCCATCCTTGAAAGATGTGCTAAGACATACTTGTAATTGTACGCTTGAAACAAATTCTCTGGTATTTGGCCAGTAAGATAGTTTGAGGCAAGTTGTCTGCAAATAACATTTCACCATAACAAAGTTTTATCTAAATAAAAGAAACAAGAAATCGTATTATCTTGATATTTCAAACCGGATGAACAACTTACATGTCAGTTAAGACTGGAAGGCGTGAGAATGATTGAGGTATTGTTCCTATAAGATGGTTGTTACTCAATGACCTGTTAAATACATGGGAATATTAAAGTAAATAAAAAAGGTTACTCTGAATAAGTGACTATAGTATTGCTTACAATGATTTCAGATTCTTAAGATTGCCAAGAGAAGGCGGTATTTCTCCGGATAATTGGTTATTTTCCAGGTTCAGCATTTCCAAACTTGCCAAATTTCCTAATTCATCAGGAATCTTACCCGTTATTCCATTTCCTTGCAAGGAACTACAATCAAGAGGTTTGCTGTTTATCAACCAATGGAGTAGTGCACAAATAGAACTAATTGATTATCATTCAGCATGATTAACATACAGTGTGTTAAGCCTCTTCAAAACCCCTAATGCTGGAGAAATCGTGCCTGAAAACCCCATATTAGACAATAATCTGCAAACAGAAGGATCTTCAATAATCAAACACCATCAATAAGGAGAAAAGTGGTTCACAAATACCGAATTTGAAATACCATCATATATATCACAAACTGACAAACGATGAGATTTCGCTATTACATTTTTCATAAACAAAACATTACTTACACCATGGTGACATTTTTATCATCATCGCATCTAATTTTGAACCAAGTGCATGGGTCAACTTGATTCCGGTCCCAATTAGGAAGCTGTATGTTTGATGCATTTAGAGACTCCTTCAACGCATAGAGTGCATCTCCTACAATATATTCAATATTATTTTATACAAATATTTTCATTACACAATTGTGAAATATGACTCTTTTATGGGATTCTTTGGTGGGTGGGTGGGGGGGGGTACCTTGGGCATCAGGCAACACAAATGACCACAAGCATGCCAAAGTTAGTATTGCAAAGAATAGCTTCATGTCTCCAAACACCACATTTATCATTTTAAAGCTTTTAAGCAGTAAATTCTGTTTTACATGGACAATAGCATAAAAATAAAAGCTAAGTCAGTGCCACCAATCAAGGAACACTATGTAATATGGAGTACAAAAAAACAATAGTAAGAGATGCTTCATATCACGCTTCATTTTCAATGCTGCATAAAGCATAAGCAGCATGACCCAAGACAAACTGAAAGTCAATGAGCCAAAGTCCATAATGAAACCATCTCATGGTGAGATAGCTATAGTTTTTTGGTAAAAAAAACAAAAGCATCATAGCATAAAAATAAAAAATGTATTGTTTTGTTAAGTCAAGGGAATGATAACATGTATAGATCCAAAAGAACTCCAAATATATGTATCTCTTCACGCAGCAATAAATTATACGTTACATTTTCAAACCAATAACACCAAGACATTTCCATTTAGTACAAACTCATACAGGAGGTTGCCATGTTCCTGGTCTAAACGATTCTCCCGATCCAGATGGCTCTGAAGATTTGGTTTCATCCTCTGCATTAGATGGTTCTGTAGCTGCATCACCTGCATAGGCATCTGCGAATTGCCTGGTATAACTTTTTAAGTCTGGACCAGCAAGTTTACTAACTTTTGTTGTCTTGAACTTCCCCTCGGCTAGCCTTTCCTCTTCCTCCTTCAAACGAGCAACATTAAGTTTAAGAAGCTCCCTTCTAGCCTCCAGCTCAGCCATCTCCTCAGAAGTAGGAGCATTTTTCCGTTGTCCATTCAACCAGCATATCCATTCAACTGGGATGGAGGTTGGATCATGCTCCCCTTTAAATACCACCAATCGTTTCTCTTTCATGAAACCATCAATCTCCTCCCTTCTGGTAAAGTATCGATTCCCTGTTTTATCGACTCCTACCAAACTCCTGTTGCTCAACATCCCTACCAACTTTGCCCATATCCTCGACATGCTCTACACTCCCCTCTAACAAAAGCAGTGAATGACAAAAACAAATGTATTTATTTTTATGTCCAAATGCATTACTTTCGTGCAGGAACAAAAACAAACAAATACATAAATGTCCTTCACACGTTCGTGTGGTCTCCTAAGAGACCTACACATTCTGAATGAACATTAAGACCGACGTCTAGAATTCCAGTTTAGCACGCTATGTCTCAGCAAATGATTTAACAATACTGATATGCTAGCTTTTTTCCTTCAAATTTTTAGCAGAACCACACAAAATGCATACTAAGTGCATAGATAATCAGATTTCTCCAAAGATTCAAAATTCATGAGCTTCGAAATTCTAAGCAGTTCTACCAAGAAAACAGAAAATGCATTAAAAAAAAGAAGAAAGAATTTAAAGCAACCCATCTCAGTTCATATGTCGCTAACCCACAATACCAATAAATAATTTCACCAACTCAAGAACGAATTTCTTCCCTACTCTTTCAGGATCAAGTTCCATTCTTAAATCCACACAGAAGTGGAAAACAGATTCGGGAAATCACTGATTCCAAGAATAAACCGACCCAGATGAATTTTAAAAATTGAAATTTGAAGAGGAAAAAAAACGGGTTCGCAGTAATAATCAGAGTACGAATATAAATGTAAAAAGCAAGGTGAAAGATATACATACCGCCAAGATTGAGATCAAAATCCTTC